TACTATTTCAATCACAATTAAGTATTTCAAACTAAAGTGTTCAATAAATACCTAGATCATATAAATCCATTTAGCATATATGTAAAAGAAAAAAGAAAACAATATATAGTGTAACACTATTTCTTTAAAAATAATAATCATATACAAGTAAAATATCTCTAACAAAAGTGGAGCAGGCAAGACTGCTCAGGCTGTAGGTTGTTCTCTCCTCCACTGTAATGGGTTGTTCTAGTAGATGCCACAGATGACAGCAGCAGTATATTCCAAAATTCTATATTTGCCAACTCGTATTAAAACAGTTTCAAGTGCAGTTAAAAACAAGGAAAACGGGGGCATGGCCAACCGTCAGAGGAGATGGCTGCATGTTAGCTCGACTCCGGCACCGCAGGCACTAAAACAGCGGGAGCACGAGCACCAACAAATATGGGGAACCCTAAAAGGACTCAAAGCGCCTACACAAGCAGGGGGAAAGTACCCGCCAAGAAACCGGGCTCGGTTTCCAAATTCTTTAAGGACTAGCATGGAGGAACACGGCATTGCAAATATGGCGCCGATGGCGGGAGAGCACCTCTCCAATCCGCCCAGCCCTGCTGCATCAGAGACCTCAGCAGCCTCAACGGAACAAGACATTAAGGTCCTGCTCCAAAATTTGCCCTCCAAGGCAGACCTCACAGCAATGCTGGAGAAACTTGAAACTTCATTCCAGCACAAGATGGAGGGATTGAGAGCTGAAATCCGGCAGGTAGGCCTCCGTGTCCGAGACCTAGAGGAAGACAGGGGTCAGGTACAGACCCAGCTTACCACCCTGTCAAACCATTTAGATGCCCACGAAACCCAAATGTCTCAGCTTCAAAGATCGCTTGACGACATAGACAACAGGGGGCGCAGAAACAACCTCAAGGGCCTTCCCGAAACTGAGGCTGAAGACATACAAGCATCATTGCAAGAGCTATTTAATTTACTATTAGAGAAACCAACCACAAAACCGATCCACTTCGACAGAGCACATCGCTCACTCAGACCCAAAGGCAACAATGGAGACGCTCCAAGAGACATCATATGTCACCTACACTATTTCACAGACAAGGACCGAATACTCAAAAAGCTAAGAGACACTACTCCGCCACTGCTGTTCCACGGACAAGAAATCCAGATTTACCAAGATCTCTCCTTGCTCACCCTCCAAGCAAGGCGACACCTAAAACCGATCACAGACCAACTGCATGCTAGAAACATCAGATACAGATGGGGTTTCCTCCTAGCCCTTATTGTCACACTCAAAGGGACCACCCACATTATAGCAGAACATAGAGATGTGACACCATTCATAAGAGCGCTAAAACTCGCAGAGGTATGCATTATGGACTGGTACGCAATGGACCCGGCGCAGACCCTTACCCGACAGCCAAGGGAACAGAGAAGACGTTCACCCCCCAAGAGACAGAGGATGGGATCCACAGACGACCGTAGAAGGGGAGACCACCCACTTGCTCAGAGAACCTGAGGGGCCCACAACACAGGCCAGGACTCCCCAGGGATGATACGCAACTAACCTCAAACCCAACACGAAAAGGACTGACCCAACTCGTACAGCAGGCTACTGGTACACCACATTATATCCCAGTTGGATCCATCATCTCGTCGTCTCAAGTCAGAGAGGCGCAACAGCAAAGGGCAACTCACAGATAATGCCACTGTGGACATACAAAAAAAAACAAAAAACAAGCAGGGCCTGATACTGGGACATTGAACTACATGCCGCTCCCCAAAATCACAACGAGCTGTACGAAAGACTTTCATAGACCAAGTCGTATGCTCATATGTTCACAGTCTGTATATGAAGTATAATGGTATGTAGCACTTAGTGACACAGGCCACCTAACACTCCCTGACCACACAAAGGAGATGTAAGGCCGGTAGCCCACCAACGCTCCTCCACACACATGCAAAACAACACTAGAGAGGGGGGTGCAACTAACAACACGTCAAAAAAAAAAAAACACACACATCCCTGATCTAATTTTGGGTAACCATGACATCTCCGCCCTGGAACCAAGCCTCCATCCTTCCCCTACACCTCACCCCATAACGCAACGACTGAACTTACGATCACCCTCAGCTCCAAATGAATATGACAAATGCAAGTGCCTGCTTGCCCACCGACACGTGCACGCCACACACCAACAATACAGCACATACATCCCTGCAGTCATACCGACCGCACCATCACCGCCACACCTCACACATTCTCAGAGCCGGAGACGCATACCGACCCTCCCGCTGTGTGACCTCACTAAGGCTCCAGCATTTCAGCCACACTAGATTTACTGTACATAGCTACATCCGAAAATATACACTACTCAGACGGGGGAAACTCACGCCCCCAGTCATCTCTGGCAGAGTGTAATACCAGAGCCTTTGTTTATGTTTATGCTTATGTTTGTTTATGCTTATATTTACTTTGTGCACTTTCCTTTCACAGTAAAGGTTCACTACAAAACGTTTCCACAGAAAAGGTTACACCACAAAACGCGGCGTTCAGTGCTCGCAGCTTTGACGGGGGGGACTTACCCACGAAAAGAGGGAGACTGATCACACAACAAAGTAGGTGACCATACAAACCCACCGCTACACTCCTAGCGTCACACCCTACGAATGGCTCTAAAAATTGTATCCCTCAATGTCAAGGGACTAAACACCACAAATAAACGCAGGCAACTACTAAGAGACCTGAAATCACGCAAAACCGACATTGCCCTCGTACAAGAAAACCACATACCTAAGACAGCATTAATAACCCTAAAAAACTGACACTTCCCACAGACCCACGAAGCTTGAATGCTGCACAAACGTGCCGGAGTGGCAATATTAGTACACAAAAACTGCCCACTCCAAGTGACAGGGACACAAGCTGACCCAGAGGGCCGCTACATTGTTATAACAGGCACGATACATAGCACGAAAATAAGAATCATTAATGTGTACGCCCCTAACGTACCAGACTCTACATACTGGGACACTCTCACAACAATAATCAACACTAAGGGGGAGGGATAACACTGGTGGGGGGCGACTTTAATGCTGTACCAAATCCGGCCATAGACAGGAGCACGAGAACAGGCTTACCCAGGTCCCACGGGAGAGGTGCACAGGATAAACTATTGCATACATTCCTCACCAACACACATCTCCTGGACTCTTGGAGGCTCCAGCACCCAGATACACGCGACTACACGTTCTATTCAGCGCCCCATGGCACATACTCGAGAATAGATCACATATTCCTCAATGATGTAGGGATGTCCAAACTCGTGCATTCCGACATAGGTAGTATCACCTGGTCGGACCACGCGGATATATCAATTACATTAGACAAACTCAAATACTCCGCCACTTGGACCTAGTGCCAAGCTTACTAAACAGTGACAAACTATGCGAGGACACGCGCACTCTTATCGCAGAATACTTCACACAAAACGCCACACCTAAGGTAGACCCAGTAGCGCTATGGGCAGCCCACAAAGCGGTCATGAGAGGACACTTCATAAAAGTGGCAACACACAAAAAGAAATGCAACACCCGAGCACTAATAGAATTTCAGGTTGCCCTACAAAAAGCAGAACAGCAGCACAAACAGAATCCAACAACCGGAAAACTAGCAGAACTCACCGCTCTAAGACATTCAATTAGGGGGATCCTGCTTGAAGGGGTCGCACACTCAATCCAGAGATCTAGGCGATTGTTCTATGAAAAGTCCAACAAAATGGACTCCCTGTTATCCAGAGCACTATGCCCCCACGGGGACTACAAACCCATCACAAAAATACGCACACTCACTCGGGAACTAGCAACGACTTCCCAAGACATAAACAGGGTATTCACGGAGTTCTACTCGAACCTCTACGGTCAGGCCCAATACCCACAAAACACACCGAAACAAATACGGTCCTCATTATGTACCTTCCTTGCCAGCATAAAACTTCCTGAGATAACATATAGTGACACATTCTTTATATGCAAACTTGGTTACCTATCACCGTTTCATTGATGACATATTTTTCATATGGAAAGGAGATGAATTGAGTCTCACTAATTTTTTAAGCTTTTTAAATTCCAATGATTGGGGAATCATTCTCACCTCTACTTCAAGTAGACAAGAGATTAATTTTTTAGACCTTACCATCTTTGTAGAGGATGGGGACATTCAAACCAAGAATTATTTTAAAGAAGTAGATTGCAATGGTTATATAGATCTCAAAGGTTGCCACTACAACCCTTGGCTCAGAAATGCCCCCAAGAGTCAATTCATGAGACTGCGAAGGAATTGCACACAAGATAAAGATTTTAACACACAAACTGCAGTGATTAAAGACCAGTTTTTGGAAAAAGGGCTATAAAGAAAGAGACCAAAAATGAATTTAGATGAAGTGAAAAATATGGAGAGAAAAGGATTACTGAAGTATAAAATGAAAATTAAGGAGAATAAAAATAGAGATACCCCATTCATTTGTAATTATTCTGCTAAAAATAAGCAAGTGTGACATGCCATTAGTGATGTCGCGAACCCGAAATTTTCGGTTCGCGAACGGCGAACGCGAACTTCCGCAAATGTTCGCGAACCGGCGAACCGCCCGAAACGCCATTGACTTCAATGGGGAGGCGAATTTTAAAAACACACAGGGACTCTTTCTGGCCACAATAGGGATGGAAAAGTTGTTTCAAGGGGACTAACACCTGGACTGTGGCATGCCGGAGGGGGATCCATGGCAAAACTCCCATGGAAAATTACACAGTTGATACAGAGTCTGGTTTTAATCCATAAAGGGCAGAAATCACCTAACATTCCTAAATCACAATGAATATGGACACCTGACATATGACATATTGAC